CCAGTTGCCTATGCCCGACCTCCGTTTCACCCGTCCTCCTTCCTGCCTATCTCCCCCGCTGCTGCCTAGCGCTGCCCGTTGCTAGTCGTCTCCGCTGCCTCTCTTTGTCTGTCTCAGCGCCCATTACTCGTCGTCTCTCTACGCAGTCTTTGCGCCCGTTCGACAGGCGCTCCGGAGCGGTCCGTCCGTCGGCCCTCCTGCACTATTGCTCCTCCCGCTGCTGCCTCGCTTCGCCCACCGCTCTGGCTTAGCGGTCGTCGCCCTCTGCCTCACCCCACGGTCCTAGCGCCTGGTCGCACTACAACCAGTTTCCCCTCTGCCCCTTTGCTATCATCGTGCAGTCCTCCGCCACCCGTTCGTCGTTGTGCGCTGTACAGTCGTGTGAGCCCGGCGGTCTCGGCTAGATTTGAGGAAACTTTCGAAGGGAGCCAGCTACCAGCTGGCTCGAAAGCGTTTCGTGGGCAACTTAGCGCCCGGTATCCAACGATATGTTGTTGGTCCCCGTCGAGTGGCATTGCGCAGAGACTGCTTATGTTCATAGGGAGGAGGGGACTAGAGGGGAGGCACAATGACCGGCCCTTCGACGAAGCTTGGTCCCAATGCCACCGGTTGACCCCTAGCCGGTATCGCCCACATGCTGTAGCCTATATCGCACCTGCTGGCGGGCCCAACTCCCTCATGTTCCCCGTTTGGAGGCTTGAGCACGAGTGTGGCTGCTACGGGGTTCCCCGTAATACTATAAAGGGGTAACTTCGGCGCAGTCACGAAACCAGTTTATAATCGCACTTCAGGCATTCCGCGAATACAACACCCCCCCTTGCGACCCCACCATTTCTTCATTCATACGTTGACCTCTCCGGTCCTCCTTTTAAGTCAGGTGGCCGCGAGGAATTTCATCAGCGGCCTCGTCAAAAGAGGCTCGTGTTCAATATCCTTGACTGCCGAGTCAAGAACATGCCAACGCATAAGATAAAATAATAAAATATCTAAACTTTTAATCGTCAGAGTATGACGAACGAGGGAAAAGGACCTGTTAGCACCGCTCTTACGCCGCCGACGGCAAAACCAAGGGGGACAGCCCGCCAGACCCTCAACCCCTCGGTCCCTTTGCGCTACTCTGATATTCTCGCATAGCCGCCGCTCGATCTCGATCCCTGAATCTCATTGATGAATATCCAATGCTGTAACCAATAGTACTAGACCCAAGGTTGGGTCTAGTATTGTCGGACACCTATACAAACGACTACTACTCGGCGTGCGGATCCACAAAGCGTTTTCAAAAACCACTTGTTGTCGACGCCGTCCTTCGTACGTACGCACAAGTCACAGTCAAGCGCACCAATCAAGAGACAAAATCTTTTTAGTCCTAACTTCATCAGAAAAGAAAAACTGGACCGGCAACTACGCTGGCTTCACAATCATCAACAAGAGAAAAACTAACGCGCGTCTCAAACTTGCGCGCCAACACACTCTCTACTTTAGTCAATCGCCCCGTCACCATAAACCTCAGAGGCAAAGTTGGGATCTGCGCATCAGAGTCAGGGAGATGGTAGGAAGAAGAGACTACCCCAGGACTGGAAGAAGAAAGGTCAACTAATGTTCGTCGACCACGATGGTCAAGCGACAAAAATCGACGATTTCCCAGACCTTGGGGAGGAGACCGAGCACGATGGGCCAGCGAGACTTCGGATGGGGGAGTCGTGGCACCCATCAAAGAAAAGGCTAGGGGGACCGGGAAGAAGAAGGTAGGCCGGTCTATGGGTCAGGGCGACCAAGGCACGCCCGCTTGGGTGAAACTTGGTTTAGGGTATGAGGTGTGGAGGAACCGAGTCGCTAGGGGCACGTGCATGAACTGTGGCAAATATGGTCACACGTCCCGAACGTGCCGAGGCAAGAAAGTCCTGACGAGGGTAGCCTCCCCAACAGTGATGGGACTATCTTCGAACCCTGGTGGTGCTTCTGCGAGCACTTCGCAAGGAAACACCTCAGGCCAGTAGGAGTTTTAGCCACTCTTACTCGCGCTGAAGTGGTAACGTTGCCTTCCCCACTTCAGGCGTTGGCCAGGGCTAGTGACCCACGTATCGCCCCTAGACACATTTAGACCCACCGACGCTTTGTTCGAGAGATGTGTCTGAGGCCCTAGAACAGTTAGAGACTGAGTGGTCAGGGAAGAACCCCAGAGACCCTTGGGCGATGATCAGTAGAGGTCCAAAGGGTGAACATTTCGTGGTAGAGGTTGATGTGGGTGGTCGCAAAGTTGGCGCCTTCGCAGACATAGGCTCTACACGAAACTTCATCAGTCGTGCTTGTGTGGATAGACTGAGCTTAGGGGACCAAGTGCAGTGGCTTAGAAGAACTGTAGCTTCTACGCTGGCCAACAAGCACCAAATGTTGGTAAAAGACTTTGTCAAGGTCGTAGTCTGTACCTTCTCCTATGGAGGAGGGGACGTGAGCCACAAGATCTCTTTCCTGGTTAGCGATGAACTGCCCTTCGACATGCTCCTAGGTATGTACTACCTCGAGGTCGTGCAACCGCAGTTTGACTGGGATAGAAAGGTGTTGATTTACAAATTGCCCAATGGTAGATCTGTTAGATTGCAAAAGTTTAAAGCTAGCAGTCTGATAGAAAACTACGGGTGCATGTGTGCATCATCTTTCTATAACTATTATAAGTAGAATCGCGAGGAGAGCATGTATCTGGTCTTTGTCTCTAAGAAAGGGGAGGCCGTTAAAACACCCCCAGAGATAGAATCAGTCGTCGCACAATATTTTGACCTTTTTTAAGAGCCCACAGGCGTGGTAGAAAGGGAGGTTGTCCATGCAATAGAGGTTGTCCCAGGTAGTAAGGTGCCTAGAGGACGAATCTATAGGATGTCTCCTGCGGAGTTGGATGAGCTCCGCCACCAGCTCAAGGAGCTCACAGAGAAGGGATGGATTCAGCTTAGTACCTCCCCTTACGGCGCTCCAGTCTTGTTCGTACCGAGGAAGGGAGGTACCCTGAGGATGTGCATTGATTATAGGGGTCTCAATGCCATCACTGCTAAAAACGCAGAGCCCCTACCCCGCATCGACGACCTACTGGATAGAGTGCAGGGATGCCGGTACTTTACTAAGATAGATCTAAAGTCCGGATACCATCAAATTGCTACTAGACTTGAGGATCAGCACAAAACCGCATTTCAGACCAGGTACGGTCTGCATGAGTTTGTGGCGATGCCCTTCGGCCTATGCAATGCACCTGGGACATTCCAACACGCAATGAACAGGATCTTTCATGATTACTTAGATAAGTTTATCGTCGTGTACCTCGACGATATCCTCATCTTTAGTAAGACTGTAGAGGAACACGCTGAGCACTTGAAAATAGTGCTAGGTCTCCTAAGACAGCACCAGTACAAGGTTAACTTGGAGAAATGCGAGTTTAGTCGCACCAAGTCATGAAATTTCAGTAGATGGGTTGAGGCCAGACGATGCAAAGGTGGCCAACATTCGTGACTGGCCTAGACCTCAGACTGTTACTGAGGTCAGATCATTTTTGGGGATGACGGGCTATTACCGTCCATTTGTGAAGAACTGTAGTACTATAGCTTCCCCATTAACAGATCTAACTCGACTTGACACCTCTTGGGAATGAACAGAAGAGTGTGAGGCAGCCTTCAAGAAATTAAAGTATGCTCTAACACACTATGAAGTCCTCAAGCTCCCGTATCCTGATCAGCCCTTTATCGTGACCACAGATGCCAGCCAATATGGCATAGGCACGGTTCTTGTGCAAAAGGAGGGGAAAAAGTTGAGATATATCGAGTATATGAGTAAAAAGATGCCATCTCAAAAACTAGCCAGGTCCACTTATGAGTGTGAGCTCTATGGCTTGTATAGAGCGCTGGTTCAATGGAGACACTTCTCCTTGGCAGATTCTTTTATGTAAGATCTGACCATGAGACCTTGCAATGGATCAAGACACAGCCGGTACTCTTTGATGCACTCAAGAGGTGGATTCAAGTAATAGACATGTATGACTATCAGCTTGATCCAATCAAGGGAGAGTACAACAAGGTGGCTGACGCGTTATCCCGTAGGGCAGATTATCTGGGAACCTTAGTAACCGAGTTTGGCATATCTGACGAGCTCACTCAATCATTGGTGGAAGCCTATCAGCAAGATCCAGTTATGGCTGAGATCATTCGTAGATTTCGTGCGAAAGAAAAAGTAACTTCCGACAAATTCACGATGATAAATGACTTGATGTTTCTTGAGAAGGCAGGGAATAAAAGGTTGTGTGTTCCTGATAGTGAGTCTTTACGTAGTTTATTTTTAGGAGAATGTCATGATGCAACTGGTCATTTTGGCTATAGAAAGACATCGGCGAACTTAGTACAAAGATTTTGGTGGCCCTCTATGATGCAAGATGCTAAAAGATACGTTGAAACCTGCCAGGTTTGCCAAAGGGACAAACCTAGGACTCAGGCTCCGCTCGGGTTGATTAAGCCCTTGCCGATTTCTGAAGGACCGGGTCAGAGTGTGTCCATGGATTTCATGGATACTCTTGTGACCAGCAGGTCTGGGAAAAGACACATCTTTGTTATAGTGGATTGCTTTTCTAAGTATGCCAGACTAATCGCTATGCCGGAAAATGCTAGAACTGACTACGTCATCAAACTCTTTATGGATAACTGGGTACGTGACTTCGGTTTGCCTACATCTATTGTTAGTGACAGAGATGTGAGATCACCAGTGAACTGTGGCAATCTTCTGCTGAAAAGATGGGCACAAATCTCCAAATGACATCAGGGAATCACCCTGAGTCAAATGGCCAAGCAGAACAGATGAATCGAGTAGTACAACACCTGCTTAGACATTATATCAAGCCAAGTCAAGACGACTGGGACCTCTCGTCGCCAGCTTGTATAACAACGTTGTGCACAGTACTACAGGAACGCCTCCCAACCAACTGCACCTTGGTTGGAAACCCAGAACTGCACTTGACTTTCTGCTACCAGAAAGAGAACCCACCGCAGCACCAGGCAGCATAGAGTTTGCTGTCAAATATGAACAGATGCTGCAGCAAGCCGTTGAACATATCAGGAAATCTCAGGATGCCATGATCGCATCTGAGAATACGCACAGACGACCCTCTAACTTTCAGGTAGGTGATAGAGTCTGGGTTAAGTCATCTGAACTAGGTCAGGAGTTGGGCATTTCACGCAAACTAATGCCAAAATACTTTGGGCCCTGGGAGATCTTAGACATTGTAGGGGATCAACCGGATGGGCCTTCATACGCGATTCACATTCCTGTGCACTTACGTACTTACCCTGTGTTCCATGCCTCCAAATTGGCACCTTTCGCTGCCACTGGTCAGTTTCCCTCAAGAAGATCAATGCTGCCCCCAACCATGGATGGCGAAGTGGATATTGACCAGATCGTTGTCGAGCGCATCGGTCCGACACCGCACAGGGCAACGCATGACCCTCACGGCCGCGTCACGCAGGAGTTGGTCTAAATCCTCGTCGCGGATATAGATGGAGCTTCCACAAGCCGCTCCGGTCGAGTGCGCCAGCCATACCTCCTGCGGGCCCCTACGACAGGATAGGGCCTACGCGAGGCACGACTTACCTCCACCTTGCATCTTTCCACGCCCGATTCTGCCAAGAATTGGGCGAGCTATCCGCCTTTCTGCCTGCCCGCTGTGCTTTCTCCATTGCTTCTTTCTTCGAGTGAATCCGGCGCGGAAACGCGTCTGGATTCATTCCTTTTATTAGTCCTCCTTCCAAGCTACTTCGCCACTACCCGCCACTCTGCTAGCGCCCGCCGTTCCGCCCCGTTGCCTGCCTACTCTACCCGCGGCTGCCCGGTGCGCTACCTATTCTGCCTGCAGCCGCCTGGGTTCGCCCGACCGGACCCACGCCTGTCACCCACTGGTGCCCATAGGGGGAGGGGACCGGTGGGGAGGCACAGTGACTGGCCCATCGGAGAAGCCCGTGCCTAATGCTACAGGCTGACCCCTGTCCGGTACCGCCCACCGGTCGACGTAGGCATCGCACCTACTGGCTGGTGCGGCTCCCACGTGCTCCCTTATCGGAGGTTTGGGCCTGAGAGTGGCTGCTATGAGGTTTTCCCGTAATACCATAAAAGAGCAACCTTGGCGCCGTCACGAAAATAGTTTGTAGTCGCATCTCCGTCAATCCTGCGAATACAACACACCCCATGCGACCCCTACCAGGCCCGAGACGTAGGCCGTATACATTTAGCATTACCGGCCCTTTGACCGTGCCGTTGTCTCAGCAACGGCGTGGTAAGGGCTTTCGCCAACATCCTTCACCCGCGGACCTGTCCAACGAGGTCCTGAGCTCCAAGTCCTCGACCGTCGTGACGCCCACTAAGTCCGGCGCTGCGTCCAGGTTAACGGCACATCGGAGCATAACAAAAATTATTAGGAATATGGCGCTAAAAGAATTACTTAGAAAGTGCCACCACCGATTGGACGCCGCTGACGGCAAAACCAAAGGGGGTAGCCCCGCCGGACCCTCGACCCCTCGGCCCCCTCGCGCTACTCTGATACTCCCGCGCTGTTACCGCTCGATCTTGATCCTTAAATCTCCTTGATGAAGGTTGGACGTCGTAAGCGCTAGTGCTAGGCCCAAGGCTTGGTCTAGCTCCAACGAACACCTAAATAAACTGATACTGCACGACGCGCAGACCTAAAAAATACATTTTCAGAACCACGTTGTTATCGACGTCGTCCTCCGCACGTACGCACGGGTCACAGGCAATCGCATCAATCAAGAAACAAAATCCTTTTAATCGTCGCTTAATCAGAAAAAAAATAAAAATATGGTCGGCGACTACGCCGACTTTCACAATCATCAATCAAAAATAAAAAAGATCACGCGCGCCTCAAATCTGCGTGCCCATACACTCCCTACTCTAGTCAACCACCCAGTCAACCTTGACCACAGACGCAGCCGCGCCTCGCGCGGTATACTTAAACTTTAAACCAAACTTATTTTTTGTCGCTTGCAAAAACCAGGGCGGATACCCTTGTAAGGGTATTCGCACTGACGACGCGAGGGTGAACGAAGTCTACCTGCGAGCCAGAGTCCCATAAAGCGCGGTACACCCTCGTAGATGTCCCCAGGCGAATAGGGATAATGGGGAGGGTGCGATCAGGGTCAGAGAGCAGAGCGAGAAGACGACGCAGGACGTTTACGTGTCTCGTGAGTCGCTCCTGGCAAGAGAGTGGCTGCTACGAGGTTTTCCCGTAGCTCGCAGTGGCTGCGTGTGCGCTCCGCAGCTACCCCACAACCTCCACCGACTCAAAACTCCCAACCCTACCAACCCACCTCCCACTACCCCAACCCCAAACAGAGAATAGGCTACAAAATTCAAACAGACCTCACATCAACAGTAGGCACTGCCAGGAAACAATCATCAGGAAAAGTCCTATCAGCAGAGTGCAACCAAGCTAGGGTTTAGGGTTTTTAGCTCCAAGTGACACCCTTAAGTTAAACTGCGCCCAAGGAGTCTAGAAGTAGAGCAAAGGAGCCCGACACACCCACTGTCACAGAAAAACACAGATACGTCACAGGCCCATTTCATAGGGAGGATCAGCCAGAGAAGAGGCCAGATATTTCCAGCAGAGTCAAGCAGCAGGTACTAGAACAGGCTAACTTAGGCAGGGGTGAAGATCGGTACATCCTTCTTCAAGGAAGTAATCAATGTCGTCTTCTGGGCCTTCACACCATAAGGGGGAGGAGCGTGAGTGAGTAACCTTTGTACTATCTTGGACTTGCCGGGGGAATAGGAACCGGACTGATGCTCACCAGAATGGAAAAGGAGCCAGGACCATAAGGTCCTGTTTTGCATTATAAAAAAAAAAAGAAAAAAAAAAAGGTGTGGCTGCGCAGTGGGCAAAGTAGCAGAGATAAATGACCTTCGCATACGGTTGAAATACTGGCACAACTCAGAAGCAGTGTGGAGAGGGCAGAGATCCCACCCAGCAGATGGACAAGATCCATCACAGGCCACATAATATTGAAGGGCAAATTCCGAGGTTGCATCCTCTGTAGCTTCTTTTACCTTTCTTGCTCTTTATTATTTATCTGACAGGTTTATGATGCGGACCTGAGAGGAATGGTGGAAGTTTTTTTTTTTAATTAAAAAAAAAGTTTATACTACTTTATAGTTGAATTTCTGAATAAGCTATTGTGAAAGTGTGAGCAGCGGTGTTCATCTGCCATATTGCAATCCTCCTATGGCTAGCACAGCTGTGTGATCAGAGAAAAGTATGAGTATCAGTTGTGTGTTCTCATGGCCTTACAGGTTTTTGGAATTGCTTTGATTGAGGTGTAATGATGGTGGCTAGTGTGTACTGAAATGTCTCTTGCAGAACTGTTTTTGTGATGCATTGTGCTCCAAACCTAGTCTGAAGCTGCAATTTTAGGCCTGTCCCTCAGGATTTCAACTGTAGCTCAGATTTGCTTAATTCCCGTAGGCCATGCATGCATCTGATTGGACAATGCATACTGAAAGTCAGCCCTTTCCCTCCTGTACTGGTGGATCGATCATTCACGTCTTCTCGATCTAAGTCATCATGATCTCGGCATTCCAATGAGCAGCTTGTTTACCTGGTGTTGATGGACCTTTACTGGTCCTGTAGTTGAAATGCTCTTTATATTTACCAACGCCTCATTTTCTTATGTGGTGCAGTATTTACCCGAAGACTCACCTGTTCCAGAGGCAAAACCAGTTGATCAAAAGAAGAGCAAGATGATGCCTGACAAACTTCAGGTAAGCTTAAGGAACCCGGGTGCCGTATCCTCAAGCGGGTGGAGTGAATTTGAATTTTGAGTGGTTTTTATCATACAGATGCGCTTGTGATACCGTTCATGGGAGCAGTGTATGCATGGTTTTTTAGCTTCCATGTCCACGGTCAGATGTGGCGATGTTGTTTTGGACCTTCCTATATGCTCTCTGATGACGCTGGCATGGATGTAACA